CCGAGGTAGGTGCAACGAAATTTAATGAATTTATATATATATATATATATGCAAAAATGTATAAACTATATATTATATGTAAATGTGTACGTAGGTGTAGACATGGATATTTCCATGTGGTGAACAATGACTATACACATTGGGAAATGTATGCGATTGGAGGAAGTGCCGCCCCTACCATCAACAGTCAAGCCAATCGCTTTCTTGCCCCTAATATCGCCTTTAGCAAAGAGGTAATATATCTCTCAACTTCGGTTAACAATTTTTTTTTCTATTGCAATATTAATGATTGAAATTTTAATTTGATCTGGTGATAATTAAATATATCTCTAAATAAATACATGAATGCGTTTATCGTAAAATACATTAATTGTTAATTTTTTATATCATATAAATACATAAATTCAAAATACTGATGAATTTTCACTAACACCATTATATCATATAGGTACATCAATTATTTAAATATTTTTTTTTATAGAAATACATAACAATTCAAAATACTACCTGATTTTTATTTACACCGTTAAAATAGTTGAAATATTTATATTTTGAAAATAATGGAGTATGTAACTATATTTTAGAAATGTTGGTGAAAACGGATGTGTTTCAATCATCTTATGAAAATTATGTAACATAAAATTTTATTTCTTTTTTCCGAAAGCTTCGAATAGTCGATATATTTTTAAAGGCAGAAAAAATCTATATATTTATTTGGAATTTTTCGCAACTTCTTGTATTTTTACGGATTTTTTCCTGAAAAATTATTATAATTTTTATTTAATCCTTTGAAACAGGTAACCAAACACGAAGATGCACCGGAAAACGAATGGAAGAACTGGAACTGGCGGTCCGAAGGAGATCTATTTCTCAACGGAGCGTTCTTCAGGGCCTCGGGTAAAGACGTGTCGTCGAGCTACTCAAAGGCTTCGAGCCTCTCGGCGCAACCGTCGTCACGCGTCGGAGACATAACTACGACCGCCGGTGCTCTCAACTGCAAGAAGGGCTCTAGCTGTTGATGATGGTGATGATGTTTTTCCCCATGTCCATGTATATATGTATGTATATATATATAATATGTACATATGGAAGAAAAACATATTATGCCATTCGGAGATTCTTTTCAAAAGTTGTAAGAATCTTGTTCGGCTGTTCCTTGGTGGAAGATCGAATAATCAATTATTACAAATTACCTTGTTAAACGCTTGGATCTTCGATTCTTCGTTAATAATATTAATGTATACTTTCTTGTCAATTTTAGTCCCTAGTATTATAGGTATTGTTGGGTGTGTTATTTTATATGTCTCATGCTTTATTAACTTCCAATTTCATACCAAGAACTTCGAGCTTAATAACTTTCAAAATATACAACCACATCATGCATACATCATTAGAAAGATAATTTCGATATCTATGAAACGACGTCAAGAACATGCAATTCCGATGACGATATAGAAAGTTATGTTCAAACCAACATCATTATATCAATATGTTTTTAAAAAAAAACTGAAAAACCAAATCCGAACCCACGGCAAACCGTGTCTCCTTAAGGAAATTATTCCCCGCGCGGTACCTACGGTTAAATGGAATTTATCCTCCCAGGATAGGACGGACGTACCTCACCGGAACAGTGGTACTTCAAACTCCGGTGCTTTGTCGAACTCAAAGCTCGGTTTGAATCACAAAGGAAAAAAGATGCTTTTCTTTTTTTTGTAGAAAGCTTTTGTGTTTTTCTTGGTGTGTAAAACATGAAGACAAGACCTCCTATTTATAGGATTGAAAAACTTGTAACATTTTAAAAGTCATAAATATATTTAATTTTGTAACAAAAAATTGAAGGATAACTTACACAAAAATTTAATTATAAAACCTCCATTCATTTAATTAAAGAGAAAAACTCCAACAATCCCCCATATGAATGGAGAATTTTAGAAAACTCTTTAAAACCATGCAACCTTTGTGATTCAACTATGAAGAATTAATCGCATCTGGATAAGTAGGTTTCCCTTTGAACTTTCCATAGTGGATTTAAATCGGATATACTTACCAATCGGTAGATGCGATATCTTTGAACCGTTGGTTTTTTTATGTATACCAAGACAATCTAAACCACACAATTAATTCTTAACCGTCTTTGGTTCTCACTGTTGTGTTCGTTTCAACCATGAACACCTGTCTGGTTTCATGAAAGCGTAGAGAACTGGCCAACCATTATTCTCCTTGAAGCGGCCCACACTTCACTTTCACATAGATGGTTTCCTAAGCGTGTCATCTATGAAGATACACTATTTGATCATGTCAAATTTAGGAACCATTAAAAATTTCTTAGCTTTGAAGTCTTCCAACTTAAAGCCGTATAATTTGCCCTTTTCCATAGGACATTGTCTCATCATGAGAATGAGTTGGGTTATATTTGACAATGTTGAACCGTTAGTTACGACTTTGTATTCTCTTTGAACCTAGTTCTTGGGATCTCTAGTCTACTAGGTAGAGTTACCACCGTACTAGCTTGTCCTTGGCCATAAACTCATTCCCTTGGACGATTTTTCAAATAAATCTCTACAAAGACCTTTTGTAAGTGGATCAGCTACATTATCCTTTGACTTCATGTAGTCAACAGTGATAATACCACTTGAGATTAGTTGTCTAACGGTATTATGTCTACGTCTAATGTGACGAGACTTTCCGTTGTACATCACACTTCCTGCCCTTCCTATTGCAGCGAGATTATCGCAGTGTATGCATATAGGTGTCAATGGTTTGGGCCAATACGGAATATCTTCCAAGAATTTCTAAGCCATTCAGCTTCTTCACCAGCATTATCCAAAGCTATGAATTCACTTTCCATTGTAGAGCGAGCGATACATGTCTGTTTTGATGATTTCCAAGACACAGCTCCTCCTCCAATCGTGAAGACATATCCACTCGTGGATTTTTTTTCACTTGACCCAGTAATCCAATTTGCATCACAATATCCTTCAAGCACAACTGGATATTTGGAATAATGTAATACGTAATTTTGAGTATGTTTTAAATACCCCAAAATACGTTTCATTGCCATCCAATGACTAGGATCTGGATTACTTGTATACCGACTGAGTTTACTTATTGCATAAGCAATATATGGTCGAGTACAGTTTGCGATATACATCAAGCTTCCTAGAACTCTTGCATAGTCCAATTGAGACTCACTGTTACCTTTGTTCTTTGCAAGAGCAAGGTTCACATCAATTGGAGTTCTTACGATTTTGAAGTCCAAGTATTTAAACTTCTCAAGTACTTTCTCAATGTAATGAGATTAAGATAACGCAAGACTGTCAGGAGTTTGAATGATTTTAATTCCAAGAATTAAATCAGCAACTCCTAAATCTTTCATGTCAAATCTTGTGGATAGCATGCGCTTTGTATCATTTATAGTTGAAATGTCATTACTCATTATCAACATATCATCCACATATAGACATACAATGACAATTCGATTAGGAGTGTTCTTAATGTAGATACATTTATCACTTTCATTAATCTTGAACCTGTTTGTCAACATTATATTGTCAAACTTAGCATGCCATTGCTTTGGTGCTTGTTTAAGTCCATACAAAGACTTAACAAGTCGACACACCTTACCTTCTTTTTCTGGAACTACAAACCCTTCAGGTTGTTCCATATAGATTTCTTCCTCTAAATCTCCATTTAGGAAGGCTGTTTTAATGTCCATTTGATGGATTTGTAATTCATAGACTGTCGCCAAAGCAATTAACACCCGAATAGATGTAATTCTCGAGACTGACGAATATGTATCAAAATAGTCAAGATCTTCTCGTTGTCGAAAACATTTCACAACTAGTCTCGCCTTGTACTTGTCAATAGTACCATCATCTTTCAATTTTCTTTTAAAAATCCATTTGGAACCTAACGGTTTGTTCTCTGTAGAAAGATCAACCAATTCCCACATATGGTTGCTCAGTATGGATTCAATTTCACTATTGACAGTCTCTTTCCAGTATTGAGCTTCAGAAGAAGTCACAGCTTCCTTATATGTTTGAGGCTCATTTTCCAACATAAATGTTAGAAAGTCTGGACCAAATGAGGTAGCAATCCTTTGACGTGTACTACGTCTAGGTTCTATCTCATTTTGTGTATCCTCTGTATTCACTTCCCGATTTCGTTTGGTTCCTTTATTAATTGATTCACATTCTCTTTTATACGGGAAGATCGTTTCAAAGAATTCAGCATTATCTGACTCAATCACCATATTTCTTTGAATATCAGGGATTTCAGATTTGTGAATCAAAAATCTGTATGCTTTACTTTTTGTAGCATAACCTATAAAAACGCAATCTATCGTTTTCGGTCATATTTTAACCCTTTTTGGGAGAGGAATTTGGACCTTTACTAGACACCCCCACACTTTGAAGTAATTCAAGTTAGGCTTTCTTCCTTTCCATTTTTCATATGAAATGGATTGTGTCTTACTGTGGAGAACTCGATTGACTATTTGAGTAGCTGTTAAAATAGTTTCGCCCCACATGTTCTCGGGTTAACCGGAACTTATCAATAAGGCATTCATAATCTCTTTCAATGTTCGATTCTTCCTTTCCGCAATTCCATTGGATTGTGGAGTGTAAGGGGAGGTTGTTTGGTGAATAATGCCAAATTCCAAACATACTTCTTCAAACGGAGATACATATTCACCGCCTCTATCACTTCTGATCATTTTGATTCTTTTATTGAGTTGTGTCTCAACTTCATTTTTGTATTGTTTAAATGCAACAATAGCTTCATCTTTGCTATTAAGCAAATAAACATAGCAATATCATGTGCTATCATCAATAAAAGTTATAAAAAACTTTTTACCACCTCGAGATAGTGATGATTTCATATCACAAATATCTGTATGAATTAAGTCTAGAGGTTCACTACTTCTCTCAACTGATTTGAAAGAATGTTTAGTAAACTTAGATTCAACACATACTTCACACTTTGATTGCTTACAATCAAATTTGGGCAACAATTTCAAATTGATCATTTTTCTCAAAGACTTGTAATTCACGTTTCCCAATCTAGCATGCCATAGATTATTCGACTCGAGTAAGTAAGCGGAAGAATCATTCTTATTACCATTCATGGTCATTACATTGAGTTTGAAAAGTCCCTCAGTGAGGTAACCTTTTCCAACATACATGTCATTCTTACTTATTACAAGTTTGTCGGAAACAAAAACACATTTGAATCCATGTTTCACCATCAGTGATGCCGACACTAAGTTCTTCCGAATCTCCGGTACATGAAGAACATTAGTGAGAGTCACTATCTTTTCGGAAGTCATCTTGAGGGTAACCTTTCCAGTCCATTCAACCTTCGCAGTTGTGGAATTTCCCATGAACACAGTTTCTTCATCTTTAGCGAGAACATAAGATGAGAACATCCACTTATTGGCACACACATGGCGGGTAGCACCGGAATCCATCCACCATTCGTTGGGATTTCCAACCAAGTTAACTTCAGAGATCATGACACACAAATCAATATCTTCCACTCCGGAAGCAATCTCCATGATGTTAACATTGTTTTTCTTCTTGGTCTTTGGACCACGACAATCCACATCTCGGTGACCAAGCTTACCGCAGTTGTGGCAAGAACCCTTAAATTTCTTAACAAATTTATTCGGGTTATTCTTTTGGTTAGAAAAATTCTTTCTTTTCTTACCAACAGATGGAGCATGTTCAATGACGTTTGCTCCTAAGACCGAGCTTGTCCCGCGAGCTTTCATTTCGGTCATCTTGTTGTCCTCTTCAATTCTGAGACGGACAATCAAGTATTCAAGTGACATCTCTTTTCGCTTGTGTTTCAAGTAGTTCTTGAAGTCCCTCCACGAGGGTGGTAACTTCTTGATGAAGACAGCTACTTAAAAAGCTTCATTGATCATCATGCCTTCAGTAAGAAGATTCTGAACAATGACTTGCAGTTCTTGAACTTGGGTTGAGACAGGTTTATTGTCAACCATCTTGAATTCAAGAAACTTGGCGGCTATGAACTTCTTCATACCGGCATCTTCAGTTTTGTACTTCTTCTCGAGAACCTCCCATAACTCTCGTGAAGTAGCAACTGTACAAAAGACATTATATAATGAATCATCTAAACCACTCAAAATATAGTTCTTACACAGGAAGTCTGAGTGCTTCCAAGCCTCAATCACCACGAAGCATTCCTTTTTCGGTACAGACTCTGCCGGTTTAGGAGCATCTTCCTTGATGTATCTTTGCAATGACAATGTTGTCAAATAAAAGAACATCTTTGCCTGCCACCTCTTGAAATCAACACCGAAAAACTTGGCCGGTTTTTCCGCAGGTGCTGGTGCAGGGGGAGTCACTGTGGGTACAACCATAGGCATAGAAGCAACATTTTCAGCCATTTTCTGAAAATTAGAATACCACTTTTTAGTATTACAACTAAAAATATCAGATTTTTAAAACCTTACGGTATTAATTTCTGAACTCGATTATTTAAGCATGCGGGTAATAATCTCAAAACCTCAATGAGGAAACCATAAAATTATTTAAGTGTTATTTAGATCGTTTCCAGGTAAGAGGGAGCCAACTCTATATATAGAGCGCATAATTATCCAACCTTTTTCCTTGGCAAAACTTTCTCACCGTCAACACTTAAATATTTTCTCGGTTTTTTTTTTTCCGAAATTGAAAAACTTTACTTTGTCTCCCCGGAGATGTGATAACACGTATTTCATGTGATGTTTTGATATGAGATGTCTAGCGTATTTCACTCGATTTTATATATTTGTAGACATTCTAGGACACATTTGGCTTCGATATTGGTTCGTTGTGTTCTTTGATGTTTAAACAGGAATCCACACATAAAGAGAGCAAAAGGAGTGGAAAACATGGAATACGGAACATCACGGACGAACCGGGAACATTTGGAGTGTCTCTAGGGAAAACGTGAAGCTTAGAAAACGTCAGATCTTGCAAGTCCAATAACTTTCACTCTATAAGCCCAAATGATGCATTCTCTATATCATTGGAAATCTCTCTTCGATATCTACACATAGACGCCAAGATCACCCAAATCCGATGTCGGAGAAGGAAGTTATGAGCAAATATGTGGAGCCCACCAAAACTGTTAAGTGACACGATCATGTCATTTTTAGTCACACGATCGGGTCACTTACCAGATTTTGGAAATATTCCGAATTTTAGCCCAGAAAAAGAAGGATTAAGTAGGGTTAGCCCCCAAGGTCGAAATCATTCAGACTTTTCACAGAAAACACACCCTAGAGCACACAAGAAGAGGGAGATTATCAAGAGGCAAGAGATCGGAGTAGAAGACGGAGATTACGAAGCCGGGAAATCGACTAAGCATTCTTCCTTTCTTCTATTTTACGATGTTTTGTGTTATTGATATGAACCCCGACGTCTCGATGTTTAGCGAGTAGTCCCATAGCTGTAGGTTAGGGATTTGCTATGTAGGGATCTTTGGTTTTTAATTCCAGACTTTTGGATTTGTTTATTCCATTCAGTTTATTGAATTGTTCTTAATGCTTTTGATCTCGTTGGCCACTTGGTTGAATGAACTCAGGGTTTTAATTCACATAGACATATGGGATTCTAACCTAGAACTAATTCAATAAATAGAACAGGTATCACATTGGAAGATGGGTATTTGCCTAGGTATCATGATAACGTTCGTTCATGCATCCAGAGTTTTAGACTATTGAATCGGAAGATTAGTAGGATTGAACCTGGATAGTGAGATTACACTTGGAAGAGTTGATCTCTACCTTAGAGCTTGAATTCCCTGAATTGGATAGATAAACCACTAAGTTTGCATCATTTGAAAGATCCTTGCATGTAAAGAAATCCCGAAGCCTGCAGTGTTTATCATTCATAGTTTAGAATCGTTTTATCGTTTGCTTTGCTATACTCTCATACCCACATCATTTTCTCTGTATTTAGACTTAGGTTTGGATTTGATTTCTTTGTCTACTTTTGTCCCTGTTTTCGACCCTATCTACTACAATCGATCTGTACACTTGCGGAATTTGTTGAGTCTAGGAATTTATCACTTGATCGAAATTTATATACCTAGATTTGCGACATCAAGTTTTTGGCGTCGTTGCCGGGGATAATTTAGGCAACAGGATTAGATTCTATCTAGTCTGGATCTTCTTCCTTTCTTTTTCTTTTTCTTAAGTGATTTCTCACGTTTTCTTTGTCTCTTTATTGCCTTTCGTTTGTGCGTAGGGTTTCCTAGTGCATGACCAGAAGTGCTGGGACATCAGACCTAATACCTTTTGATCCTGAACTTGAAAGAACCATTACACGCATCCGTCGACAGCAGAGACAGATGGAGAATGATCAAGATCTCGCTTTTCCCGGTGATGCTGCAGGCAATGCAGACTCAACTTTTGCTCAATATAACACGCCGAAGCACACCGAACTTATGGCCGGTATACGACTATCGACCATCGATATGACTCGTTTTGAACTTAACCCGGCTACCATTCAGATGCTCAGCAATAATTCTTTTCGGGGTAGGCCAAACGAAGATCCGAACGCACATCTCACGCATTTCAAGATGATGTGCCGCTCGATCAAAAGAGAGGCCAGGGTGACGGACGATGACCTCCGTCTACTTGCTTTTCCTTTGACTCTCATGGATGATGCATTGGAATGGCTATATGATTTAGCACCTGATTCCATCCACACCTAGGACCAGCTGGAAGTTCAGTTCATGTCCAAATTCTTTCCAGCCCACCGCACTCAAGCAGCTCTCTCAGGCATACACTCATTTAAGCAGGATCAAAGGGAGAGTCTCTACGACGCTTGGAGAAGGTACAAGGATCATAATTTATCTTGTCTTGATTTTCTAATGTGATACAATTCCTTTGGAAAAGGTCGAAATCCTATAAAGGTATGGAAATCGAATTGTAGTCAACTGATTTTCCCATGGTGAATATGATATTTAAGCGTATCAAAGTCTTTTGAGTCATTGGTCAAATTTTTCTCATTATGCATTCATGCCATTTGCCCGAGGACGAGCAAAACACTAAGTCTGGGGGAATTTGATCGCACGAATCTTGTCGTATTAACTTGCATATAATTATCATGTTATTCTCATGCTTTCATATTTAGATTAGGAATATTTTGGTTTGTTTTTGGTGTGTTTCATATTTTGTAGGTGACAAAAATTATTTTGGAAACATTTGGCAAAAATGGAACAAAAATGGAGCAAACTCGGTTTCATGGGCAGTTTTGACAGTTTGGACGAATTTGACTATAACTTTCTTATCTGAAGTCCAAATGACGTGATTCCAATTTTAAAAGATCATCAACTCATTGTAGTTATGATCTGGAAAAGTTGCGATCGAAAAGAGAAAGCATGAATCGTGGCCGAAAGTTGCAAGTCACGCTTCGGATCCAGAAAAGCAAAATGAGAAGGGTGTACTATCTCCTCCATAACTTTCGATTGGGAGCTCGGATTGCTTCGCCGTTTGTTTCACAGTAAACTAGACATCAAGAGCTTTCCATAGACACCAAGATCGTAATTTTTGGTGGAGATTTGGCCCTTCATCGAGCAGTTACAATCTGAGCAAAATTCTGGTTGCTGACATCATGGCTTACATCATGGAGACAACTCACCTAACATGCCACTACGAATTTCATCATTTCATCTACTTTTGCCCTTCAGAAACTCCTATAAATAGACCCTTAATCTGCTCTCATTGATCACACAACAACAAGAAACACAAAAACAAAGAGTAGAAGAAGATTTGGAGGCTTGGAGCATGAAGAACAAGCCTTGAAGATCTAGAGAAGCTTTCTCTTTCTCTTCTCTCTATCTTTATGTTTTTTTTATCATTTGATGATGTCTCTTGATCATTTCATGGCTCTAGAGTAGTTCTCTTGTTATGGGATAGGTTGAATTTGGTTTGATGAATAAGCTTGTGCTTGATTGATGATATTGTGTTCATATGCTCATGGTGTTGAAATCTTGAGTCTTAATGCTTGTTCTTGAATTAATTCTTGATCATGATTCTATAAACATGTTTTGAATTGAGAAATCCAAGCATGTTATGAACAAGATTATCATCTAGAAGTCATGATTCATTGAGAAATGATCTTGAATTCTCTAGGAACATTGATTAAACATGAACTTGTAATGCTCTTAGAACTTATATTTCATCATTGAGAAATGAGAAAATTTGAAGTATCTAAGTAAGAAGATTTGATCTTTTGAGAGAAAGATGATCTTGGATTAGAGTTTAAAGTTCCACCATGAATGCATATAAATCACATAATCATATTCTTAGTGCTTGTTCATCGAATTAAGTTCATACCGATTCCCATAACGTCTTTTGATATTGAATCCAACGGCGTTTCCACTTTTGATTATCAAAGAGGATGGGAAAAACAAAGTTGGATTCAATATCAAAAGACGTTATGGGAATCGGTATGAACTTAATTCGATGAACAAGCACTAAGAATATGATTATGTGATTTATATGCATTCATGGTGGAACTTTAAACTCTAATCCAAGATCATCTTTCTCTCAAAAGATCAAATCTTCTTACTTAGATACTTCAAATTTTCTCATTTCTCAATGATGAAATATAAGTTCTAAGAGCATTACAAGTTCATGTTTAATCAATGTTCCTAGAGAATTCAAGATCATTTCTCAATGAATCATGACTTCTAGATGATAATCTTGTTCATAACATGCTTGGATTTCTCAATTCAAAACATGTTTATAGAATCATGATCAAGAATTAATTCAAGAACAAGCATTAAGACTCAAGATTTCAACACCATGAGCATATGAACACAATATCATCAATCAAGCACAAGCTTATTCATCAAACCAACACATTGAACTGATGGCTCAAGAAGAGGATGCTCCGAATGAATATTCTCGGGATCTACCAAGGAAAGACGGCGATTCTAGCCTTCAATTGGTTCTTGATCAATTGGCAACACTGAATGCTAAGTTTGCAAGCGCCAATTTGATTTCTACTAAGGATGCTTTGACACTTTCACAAGAGGATCTTGGCATGTATGCAGTCGAAGAGCGAGTCGAAGATGTGAACTACGTGGCCAATAACTCCTACTCGAACACGTACAATCCAGGGTGGAAGAATCATCCCAATCTCTCCTACAAGTCAAACAATGTGGAGAATCCCGTGCCGAACAATTTCAGAGCATCCGACAACTCGAATCAGAGGATTCCTCCCAGTTTTGCTTTTCAATCCAGGGGTCCTAATCAGACATCCAACTACAGAGCTCCGGGGAAATCCTATATTAATTCCACACCTCCAGGTAATCCTGAATCCAACTCTGATATGCACACTTTGCTTATACAGTTTATACATAATCAGGAAAAGACAAATCAGGAATTTCGATCTCAGTTCGCAAGCATCGATGCTCACTTCAAGATCATAGACAACCATATCGCTCAGCTAGCATCAACCTCTCAAAGACACATCCGGATCTCTTCCAGGTAAGCCTGAGACTAACCCCCGTGAACATGTCAATGCGATTACTTTGAGAAGTGGTAAGCAGGTAGACGTTGAAGACCGACCGATGGTTGAGCGAGAAAAAAGCTCGAAGACTGTAGTTGTAGACATCCCCGATGATGAACCTGAACCGGCTTACGTGCCCCCTCCTCCTAGGCCACCACCAGTACCATTTCTATCTCGCTTGAGGAAGCATAACGAAGACAGCCAATTCGCAAAGTTTGTTGAGATGCTGAAGAAACTCGAGGTAACCATGCCATTCACTGATGCTATTTTGCAGATTCCCTCGTACACAAAGTATTTGAAGGACATCCTGATAAAAAAGAGGGTCGTTGAGAAAGAAACCGTAGCGCTTACTGCCGAATGCAGCGCTTTGATCCAACACGAGCTTCCGCTTAAGCGGTCCGATCCAGGTAGTTTCTCAATCCCTTGTAAATTGGGTAATGTTTCCATCGATCGTGCACTCTGTGATCTAGGAGCCGGCGTCAGTCTTCTTCCATTATCGATCTTCAAGAAGCTGAATGTGGGTGAGTTAAAACCCACTAGAATGACTCTTCAACTTGCCGATCATTCCATTAAATACCCTGCTGGGATATTTGAGGATGTGCCACTGAAAGTTGGGAACTTTTATATCCCGGTTGACTTCGTGGTTCTCGACATGGACGAAGACTCTAAGGTACCTAGAATTCTTGGTCGTCCATTCCTTAACACTGTAGATGCTATCATTCATGTTCGAGCAGGTCGACTCACTATGAAGATTGGCGTGAGACGGTAGAATTTACTCTGGACAAAAATCTAAAGCAATCGTCATCTACAGACACGATCGTGTCTAGCTCGTCACACGATCGTGTCTGAAGCCGCAATGCTGTATGCGCAAATCAGCCAACTGACCCGATCGTGTCCCTTTTGCAACATGATTGTGTTGACGGTACATCAACTTCCGAAAAAATTCAGCAGTCTGACCCGATCGTGTCATCCCCACCACACGATCGTGTCTCATCCTTGAACCAGAAACGAAAGACACATGAAGTTGACCCGATCGTGTCTACTGCACAACACGATCGTGTCCCAGCGCTGATTCGAAGTTCAAAGTTATAGATGATTCACTCGATCGGGTCTTCCATTTCCACACGATCGTGTCAGGACCTTAATCAGCCACATGACTCATTTTCACCTCACATAGGCATTCACGACCCATCTCACTCAGTTAAATAGGTGACTATGCTCTCAGACGATTATGCTCCTATTCTTCATGATCCAGGTTGGCGAAAGATCGATAATATTGGCCTCTTAGACCCGTATGGTAGTTGAGAAAGTTCGGTCAAGCTAATGACCTTAAACAAGCGCTTCCGGGAGGCAACCCGAGTTTGTAGGTTAGTTTTTCTTTTCTTTCTTTTTCTTTTTGCATCGAATATTGGTTTGTATCTCTTACCACTAGGTTGAGTTCTAATGAGGAGCTACTGAGAAGGCGAGGAAGCTAGCTATGCAATTGACGTAGGCAGACTTAAGTGCGAGTGAACGAACATCGCGAGCTAAGTACTCTTTTCTGTTTTTGGTTTGCTTCTCTTTTGACTCATGTTATTAGTTGCCTCTACTAGCCGAGAATTGACATCGAGGATGGTGTCCAGTTCAAGTCTGGGGGAGGATTCGTCTAATGCCAAACCATATCCATATAGAGTAGTGTTGCATGCATTTTTCCCTTTTATTTTCACTTTTTAGTTGCATGTGCATATAGGATGCATTAGGATCATATAGTTTGTTGTTAGGTTTGTGCATTCTCATATAGTGTTTAGGACATATAAGATCACGTGCATAAAACCGTTTTGAGCATTGATATGATGATCTATGACATGAGAGAGTAGAAACGTCCTGAAAACATTGTGATCCGTTGAACGTGGTTAAGTTTTGTTGAATTGATTGCTTGACCTTTAGGATTGTCTAGAACGGCTTGCGGGATAGAAATCGTTGGTTGGAACCCATGGGACCGATGTTGTCTAGCAAAGTTGAAAAGTTTCTATAAGAATCTTCCCCATTGTTTTGCTGAAATCGGTAAAATCTTTTATCAAATGCATTCTTATTTCTTCATGTGCAGAAAAAGATAGTGAGCATCTCGACACTCCACTGTCATTATCTCGTCAACGAAAATCGAAAAAAAAATTTGATTAGGAACCCTTCAACTTCAACGTCCTAGGAACCCGAGATGCTAGCAAAAGAAAAAAAAAGAGAAAGTCTAGCAAGAAAAGAAAAAACCCTAAACCGTAAACCCTAAACCCTAAAATCAGAAACCCTAAACCCCAAACAAAACCCTAAACCCCAAATGAAACCCTAAACCCCAAATGAAACCCTAAACCCTAAATGAAACCATAATCCCTAAATTGATAATTGGAACCCTAATACCGAATTTAAACCATAATACTGTAACCCTAAACCCTAAAATCAGAAACCCTAAACCTTAAACCCTAAACCCCAAACGAAACCCTAAACCCCAAATGAAACCCTAAACCCCAAATGAAACCATAATCCCTAAATTGATAATTGGAACCCTAATACCGAATTTAAACCATAATACTGTAACCCTAAACCCTAAAATCAGAAACCCTAAACCCTAAACCCTAAACCCCAAACGAAACCCTAAACCCCAAATGAAACCATAATCAATCAATTGGTAATTGGAACCCTAATACCGAATTTAAACCATAATACTGAAACCCTAAATCAGAAACCCTAAATCCCAAACGAAACCTAAACGCCAAACGAAACCCTAAATCTGAAACCCTAAATCTGAAATCCTAAACCCCAAATGAATCCAAAATCCCATCGAAACAATCCAAACATCGCGAAATCACTCCATAATTCGCCGAAAATCATCCAGAAAATCCGAAAATTTTCGGATCTTAGAATTTTCGCACAAATCTCATCGAAACCCTAAACCCAAGCTTCAGCGAATCATCACCAAGGGAGAGAAGGAGAGAGGAAAGACTTACCTCGCACGGCGTCGGACAGGTTGGCTTGGACGGTGGGTGGCCGGAAAGCGCACCGATTACCGGAAATCGCAGGAGAATCTGTTTTCGCGTCGAGGCGGAGAAGAAAGAAGAGGAATCCCGATATGTATTACACATTGCGACGGAACTTAACCGTCGGAAACCGTCGCTAATGTTTGAACACGTGGCCATTAGCGATGGAGTATCTTATTTAATGACGGAATATATCCGTCGCACACGGATTTTAAAATTTTCAAAAAATTTGCGAAAATTTCAGGCGGAAAAATACCGACGGATATCGACGGATAATATCCGTCGCAAAATAGAAAAATAATAAAATAAAAATAAAATAAAAATACACACATTGCATAATTAATCAAATGAACCATACGATGATGTTTCCGTTGTTTCGGGATTAGTGTCTTCACTGCTATCGCCTTCTTCATCGAGGAATCCAATTTCTAGTTCTTCAACTATCCCTTGTTTCACTACTAGACTCTCCACATCAATTGTTTCCGCGACAGTTATAACTGTGTGTTCTTCCTGTAGCGGGCTTTACTGATCCGTCATATGTAATGGTCCCTCTTGGATTAATCTTGATAACGACCTTCCAATCAATGTCACTTCTTCGCGTTTTATCTCTTGGATAAGGGATAAAACATACCTGATCTGCTTGGGATGCCAGTATAAAAGGGTCGTATTTTCTATATCGACGGGAGTAACAAATATCAGTGATCCCTGATTTGTTGATCCGTATTCCGCGTCCCGGCGTCGGATCAAACCAGTCACATCTGAAAATAATCACTTTGAGTCCAATATGACCCGGATATTGTACTTGGAAAATTTGCTGAAGAATGCCATGGAAATCTGGTTTATCATCCGAAGCACAGTAACTCGAGCCTTTCACACATATACCATAATTTGTCGTCGAACGATGTTGTCCATGTTCATATGTATGAAATAAATATCCTCTCGTAGATAACATTGGCCAACATTTGACCAGCCGAATGGGACCTTGAACTAACTCGTGTAACCACAATGGATGATCTTCTTGCGATGATTCAATCTGTAAAAAACAATTAACTAACAATTTGGCATGTGATTAGTGTTATTCCCTATGCGATATTATTTAATTTACTTATTCGATTTACGTATAAATTCTTTTAACCAGGTTGCGAATCCGTTCTCTTTA